TTTTTTTCTTTTTTTTGCATACTGTAGAAACGAAAAAGGGTTTCAGACATTTTTCTTTTTTTTTTACTAACATGATAAGACAATCAATGGTTAAATTTTTTTTTAATGGCGGGCACTTGGGGGTTGTCCCATTGGCCACAGAAATGCTAGAACTGCTACTCTCTTCTCGTTACCCAGTGGGAACCTGTGGCGAAGCCACGGCGGTGGAGCCGTCGGCCACGTCACACAACCACAAACCCGTTTATAGGACGGATCACATTCACATACAAAGGCGAAAGGACATAGAACACAGAGAGAAAGAAACATTCATGCCCTGAGCAGGATTCGAACCCGCGACCAGCGGCTCCGCAGTCAGGCACGCTAACAACTCGGCCACCAGGTCGGCTCAATGGTTAAATTAAAAATGTGCAATATGTGTACTACTCATTAATGTATGAGAAAGTGAAGAAGTTTGAATTATATTTATGCGCTGCAATTTAATTAATTCTGACGTGGCGTGGAAAATCGTACCAAATAGAGTAATGCTACCAAATAGATATTAGCAAATAGAGTAAATATCCAGTTTATTTGTGAAAATAAAATAAAAATTATTAAAATCATATTTAGAATCTCTCTTCTCCGTCTCCTACCATTTGACAGTTGAGTTCGATTTGAAGAGGGTGGTCTTCTTTAGATTCCATAGATAGAGAAAAAAAAATTGCGAACCGCTAAGTTAGAATAAAATCGAAAGAATTTCGGACAATTTTTTTAATGGTTAAATTAAACCAAAAGAAATCCAAATAATATTGTTGTCATTCATGTTTATAGGCATTTCTTGTACCGAAACCTTATTCGAGTTTCGGTAGACAGAGACCGATAAACGAAAGGGAAGCGAGTCGTTTGTGGCGATCCCATTTTCCTGAACCTGAAGACGATATTATTCATGATCTAGGTTGTGTAAAACCTGTTATCAAGCTGTTGAAGGTAATTTTTTCTCTTTAATTACTTAAAAGTTTAATAATAGTAATACTTATATAAAAGTTTATCAAACTAAATTCCAATTT